TCTAAGCGAGATGCACAGAAAGATGGCAGCTTCAACTGAACGTCAGTGTTAAGCTCAGATGTGTTGAAGTTTCCTGATGGAACAGAACATCACAGACGAGCGGTTCTACGACTGTCTCAAGGTGGAAAACCCGACGGTTGGTTCTGTTTTGAGCTTCTGGTTCTAACTAAAGGTGTCATTTTGGCCATTTTAAACGGCAGCATTCCCTCCAAGCTGTGGGCTCTGCGTTTCATCTCTGGTCTTCTCTGAGCAGTGCTCATGATGTTTTGTTGGGTCAGTAGTTTTCTACGGATCAGGGCTTCAGGCTGCTCAGTGCTGACCGTACGTCAGACGTCCTGCTGTAGTTCTTACCTCTGCTGTGTTTCTCTCTCACCTCAGATGAGCACGATGCCCGGCCTGCCGACCCGACCTTGTTTCTACGACATTGACCTTGACCCGGTCACGGAGGAGATCACAGGGCTCTTCTGAGCATGCTCCCTAGCGGCGCTGTCATGGGTATGGTCTCATAAACCCTCCTACCAGTCCACTGTGTCCTTCTGAATACTTCATAAGTAGTCGTTGTCAGTATGGTTCGTTAGATGAGCCGTTATTTGCTCCCAGGGCTTACTACCTCATCCACTGTAAAGCTCTCACATCGTTTAAAACACCGTCTTGTTTTCCTCCCAGGCTCTCGGCTCGGTTCCCAGGATGCACCGTCTGATGTCCCCGACACCTCTACTGGGAATGCTTCCTCCTCTTCAGCAGCCCGACACGCCTCACATCAGAATAACATGTTCTGAGTGGAGAAAACCACCAGTGGAGCATTAGCTGTATGCTTTATTTGCACATCTATGTGATCTGCCAAAGATGATGCTAAACATCCCACATGCTGTGTGTGTGCTTCTGACCTCCCTGTTCTGGGTTTTCTATGAATGGGGGAGTCAGTCTGCTTGACTTTTACGTTATTGTTGTGTTTTCATAAACTTCTTACGTAGAAAAAACTTGCTAGAATGTCTTAATGATGGTCCTACACTTTCTATGTGTCATGGGGTTTTTAACTGGAATGTGAACGAAGCTGCTGGCGAGCGCACAAGAAGCTGTTCTGGTGTTTCAGCTCCAGTGTTCTGACCCGTTGGAGCTGCTGAATGTCAGAGCTGCTGTACATTCACTGGACAACCTGACAAGTTCCATTCATCAACTCCAAGCTGTTTTTAAATGTTATCTTTCACATTTGTATGGTGCAGGTATGAATCCAGTCTGTTCCTTTATCTAATCTGTCATTTGTAGAGCAGAAAGTGTTGAAGCCACCCAGATCCTCAGCAGCCTCAGTTGTTCTGCCCATTTCTTCAATAGTACCTCTTCCTTTTTTATATATCTAACCAAAAGCTGATGCCTCTAGAAGTAGTTTTAGACTTAACCTACAGTCAGAGTTTTACTTTTTAATCCAACATTGGATTCAAAAGCTAACGAGGTCTGTAACCGTTTAGTTGTCTGTCAAAGTGCCTTTCAAATAAACATTTAAATGCCTCCAAAACCAGTTTATTTGTGTTCTGACACCAGCAGTTGCCTTGCAGCTCAGCCCATCTGTTGTTTAGACACATGCACCGTCTCCTTGTTGCCTCAATACCAACACAAACCTTCCTCTGTCTCAATGTTGTTGTTCTTTTTTAATTCAGCCTCTCTTCCTGTTTCCTCCTACAGGGTGCAGCCCTGTATAAAAGTCGTGCCTGAAAGCGAGCGGTTCGGCCTCCAGCAGCACCCCAGGGTGCAGCGTCTGTCATTATCAAGTGTTTAGGTTTGCAACATGGAGCCAACGTACATGTGTGCACATGTGTCATAGCTTCATAGCTGGCATTCCTGCTCAGTCTGTTATTGTGC